TCGTTTCTGTTCTCTCTTCTCCACACACAAGGCAAATCATAGAATATTCAATCAGTCCTAATCCGTGAGTATTAGTAATTCCTGATAATATTACTGAACGAGAAGCTCAGGATTAACCTTTGTTTAGGACCAAAAAATGTTAATCTTCCATAATGGTATTGACACATTGCAGTACTACTCTCATTAACAAAATTGAATCTCAAAAGTTATTTTGTATGTCCTAAATTGGAATTAACTTGCCGTTCAATTTGTACATTCAGCTTTTACAGAACCTCATTTTTTAAAGGTCTCACAATGTTTGTTACCCTTGCTTTTAACTCCTGCAGTATATTATTTTTGCACTGATACACTTGTCTCAATAGAAAAGGTCTCTATACTGGGAGAATAAATAAAAAATAACCTAATGCATATAAGCTGGAAGGGGACACTTCCACACATCAATGTCCAAAGGCACGCCAACTGAAACGCTGGTGTAGCCGATAACGAGGAGAAAGCCGGTGTATCTGTCCCATGTTTCTTAAACAAGACATCACACGCTGCACAGTATAAGGCCACCAGGGATTACAGCCTGTTCACGTCCACACTCCATCACACACGTGATGGAGAGCAGAGGTGTCCTGGACAGAGCTCTTGCTGAGCCGTCGCAGGTCTTGCTCGTGAAGAGAGGAACGGGCTCGTTTGCATGCATCACAGGGCTGGGTCCTTATGTTTGGGAGGTCGGGGCAAGATTTTGGAAAACTGAGAATTTTAAAGTGAGAAAGTCAAGCCAAGTTCATGGATGGACCCAAGTCCATGCACCCATGGATGAGGGATATGCTTCCTGGTGTGCAATAGATTGCAGTCTCATCCCACAGCTCCTTTGCAAGTCCAAATCCTGCTTTCGTCATCGCTTAGCAAGTGCGGTCCTCTACGATAGAGCTCTGCTACTGTTCCCGGGAGGTAGGAGTGAGGTTTGAATTGGATTGGATTTGCATCCAACGGGATTAAGGAGAGCCAGCAGAGAGAAAGAAACGAGCCTGTTTTGGGATCAAATGGAAATGCTCAGAAGTGGTAGAAGAATGATTGAGCGCTTGGACCCCATTCTGAGAGCGTAGTTACAGATGGATGATTGTGAATAGTTTGTGTATAACACCATAAAGTTTGCAAATGTGAGGAGGACTCATTTATCGGGTCTGGAGTTTAGTGGGCAATCGAGCTGAGGCTCAAGGCTCCTCAATCAACTGAGAAAAAACTGCCTCCTAGGCTCGGTCCTGGTTTGCGTCCCACTGTTGATTCTGAAGAGGCCCATGGTCACTGCTTCTGGTGATTTTAAGCGGACGTGTGACTATTGAAAGACCTAATAATAATAATAATTGCTTACACTTATGTAGCGCTTTTCTGGACAATCCACTCAAAGCGCTTTACAGGTAATGGGGACTCCCCTCCACCACCACCAATGTGCAGCCTCACCTGGATGATGCAACGGCAGCCATAGTGCGCCAGAATGCTCACCACACATCAGCTATTAGTGGGGAGGAGAGTAATGAAGCCAATTCATAGATGGGATTATTAGGAGGCCATGATTGGTAAGGGCCAATGGGAAATTTAGCCAGGACGCCGGGGTTACACCCCTACTCTTTTCCAGAAATGCCCTGGGATTTTAAATGACCACAGAGAGTCAGGACCTCGGTTTTACGTCTCAAATAACCCTGGTCAAAATCTTAATGGTGCAGTCATCAGTCCAATTGTAATGACAACGGAGAACTGTGAGAAGATTTTCACCATGTTGTGGAGCACCAAACCCATTTTTTTTATTTCTGGCAGTTATTTCATTTTTTTATGGGATAGTTTGGTTTTCAGGGAGATGATTTTCAATTTTTCATTGCGTGCCATCATTCAGTTTGTGTGTTCAAAAGTTAACAGTCTAATTCTTTGAAATAATGCTGTTTTCTTCTGCCTTAGCAACCACATCACCAGGAACTGCATTTAAATTGGTCTTAAAATCTTGTTTGTTGTTAAGGTTGATCAGCCTTAAGGCTGCTGTTGACTTAAGCCTCTGCTTGTAATCCTTACTCATAAAAGGATAAATAGGGGAGTTTGTTGACTTGAAACAACTTTGGCTTTTATAGCTGTCTCATCATGTCAGCACATCCCAAGGTGCTTTACCAAGACATAGGAGAGGAAAATTCAGTAATCCTCCCAGGCCTGTGACATCACTCCGAAAAGAGTGACCCCTTAGAATCCAGGGCCAGGAGGTTTTACAGGGCAGGGCGGGAAATGTCAGGTGTAGGGTTAAGGAAACTGTTTTTAAACATTGTGGATTAATTATTGACTGGTAACACAGGCTGGCGCTGTGCTGATGTGGCCTCTGCAATGCCCCAGTTCAGATCGCCTATGGTGCTGTGGTGTTTGGCTCTGCCTTCGGAAAGGGTTAAGAGTTTCCAGTGTGGACTATCAGATGTTCTCCCAGGGTTTTGTGATTCGCTTCAGCATGGATCACGTAGGCAGTAGTGCTTCCTTTTGTATGTTTTTTTTTCTGAATAGCTTTCAGTGTCAGTGCCACCTTCACGTCAGAAGGGATTAACAATGATTTCAAAGACCGATGCTGAAATTTTCAGGGCTTTATCGCACAAAGATCTTTATCGAGCTTGACTGAATTCACAAAGTGTTTTTTTGTGAAACATGTCTCAGCCTCCCAAAGTTTATTACTTTCTGTGGAAGTTTCTGGTAACCAAAATTTGACCTGCCTTTTTATTTTACTAAAAAACTGAACACTGAAATAGAAATTGTATGTAGTGACAGTGGTACATCCTTGATTCCCAGCAGGATTACTAACTATACTGTCGCAGATGATCTGCCTTACTTCTGATACTTTATTCACATTTGCTTGATATAAAAAAATATATATATTGACCACCTTCCTGAGAACTGGAATTTTTATTATGCTTAATTACTATGCTGCTTTCAGCAAAGTTATAATCATTGTGATAATGAGAGTGTATTATACAATATTGTGTCTGATCAGAACACGTAGGTAAAGAGATAACAATGTGATGTTTCAGCACATCCAGGAGCACTGGAAGGGATAGGGTTGTCTTGTATACGTGTGTTTAAAAAGCAAACCGGAAAAAAAAAAGATCTCCGTCCTTGCAATTTTTCTGTTTAATGAAGCAGAAAAAACAGTTTTGACAGTCACCAATGCACAAAATTACTGCGTTGTAGTTTAGTTCCTAAGCCCTGTGAGGAATCTGTGTACTGGCAAGAGAGAAGGCAGTGGTTCCAGATGTGTGGTTACCAGTAATAAGCTGCAATAAATTGGAAAACCACCCACCAGTAATTTCCATGCCTGTGATGTCGAAGCGAATGGAGTTTCAGGAGGCTGCTTATTACATTACAGCTCCGTGGCTTTTTTATAAAGGCTCACTGAAACCTTTCGGTCTCTGGGAGCTACATGGTGACGTAGCTCGGCGATGAACATCTTTTTCACATCTTGTAACTGTTTTTCACTGGTGTTTCCAACATCAAGTCAAGCAACTGAGGTGCAGGACTTTTTTTTTTTTTTTTTTAAGGTTGTCCCTCCGTTTGCTCTGCGAGTGGGGTGCAGCGTAGTGTAGCCCTCGCTGACGGGAGCAGCCTCCACCTCCACATTCCTCCTGGAAGGGGGTGGCAAAGCCAGGCCTTTTCGACCCCCGTTTCTGATCAGAGCCCGATCAAGGGGGCGGCTGCTCTCGCTCGTTAGCGGATGTCTCTCGGCAAAGATCACGAGGAGATGCAAAGCTCTTTGCAGTTTTATCTGCTAGCATCCTGGATGCAGGATCCCCCAAAAAATCGATCTTTGGAGCGGGTGGGGTTGCGCGGCAGGAAGCACGGTATAGCGGTGTCCACAGGGGGGCAGTGTAGAGTGACGTTCAGGTCCCCCTGGCCTCCCAGCTTGAAGGCTGTGGGCTTGCGTCCCAGCTGCAGGTACGGTACGTCGCCTCCAGTCCTGCAGCCCTTCCAGTTGCATAAATAGGTACCAGCACTGGCGGGGGTAGACCTGTGATGGGCCAGCGTGTCCTCAGCCTGCTGAACCGCACGGGAGTCGCAGACTCATTTACGGAGTACCTTAGCCTCTGGTGCGTCTCCACATCTGAATTGTCTTTGTGATACAGAGGAATGACTGGCGTCAGGATGGAGGGTAAATTCATCACCTTTCTGGGACAGATATATGGGCACTTCCCCCTTTTCCTCAAGTGCTAAATTTTCAAGTGATTTAATTAACAAATGGCCAGAATTTAATATGTTTTAGTGGGGTGGGGTTAATTATCAGTATTGGATCTGCTGAACTGTAATCTGAATTAGTGTAGGAACCCAGCTGCCATGGCTGAACCCATTCCTGTGGGACTCGGTGTGTGGCAGCAATAGGGCAATCTGGTTAGAGCTCTCCAGGGACGTGGGGTTTTAATAGGGCGGCCCTCGGCACTCCTCTCCCTGGAAGGGTAGGTGGCTCGGTTCAGTGTCCCACGTGGGTCGACGAGGAGGCCCCTAGGTCTCGTCTTGTCACGGCTCCTTTCAATCAACTGAAAACAGTTTCATTTCTCTCACCAAAGGATTATCATTTGTCAATCCTTGCAAAAAAAACAACATTTATTTTTGGCCGCCTGTCTTTCAAAAGCTTGTGGTTTCATTAGGTTTCTGCTGCTTTCACTTCACTTAGCATCTACACAAGATACACAAGATAAACTTGAAATAAGAGGGAACAGATTGGCCTATCTAACTCCGGCTCATCTATTTGGATGTTTCTACTAAATCCAAGGTTCTTATCCTGCTATGTTGTGAATGGAGAGTATATATATTTTTAAATTAAATTATGGTCAGTTCTGTTAATGTGATTAATATTTTAAAGCTGACCTTCCCATACAGATTCTTCATTCTTGCAAACTCTTGAGTTATGTGGCGTATCCGGTGTCAAACAGCTGCTCTGTCGAGTGAAAACTGTTTAGTCTGTGTGGAGTGCTAATGTGTCTTTGTGTTTTGCGCAGGTGTTACTCTATGATCGTGTGAGCGTGGAGTTGCCAGCCGGGAGAGTCAGGACTGAGGGGGAGCAGTGCCACTCTGGAACATGGTGCCTCATTGCTGTTCAGCCACGGTCCTGGTGCTGGTAGCGGCGGGGCTGGGCTGCCTGGTGCTGTCCTCACAGGCCGACAGTGAGTATCGCCAACAGGGCCCTCTTAACCATGCTTTGTTCCCCACCAGCGCACCAAGAGCTCTGCGCTGTTCTTGACGTTGGGGGAAAACTCAAAAATGCAGCCTACTGCTGCTTTAGATTTATATTAAAATGGAAAATGCAGCCCTGCCTCCCCCCACCCCCAAGTGAAGGATCAGTTCAGATGAATAGGAATGTGGAGTCCAACACACTTCCACAAGGGAACTATTGGAAGACACTGGTGGGCTGTGGAGTACTGGAGTGGTGTAAACTCAGATGGTCAAAAGCAGTGGAAATAAGAAGTCCCTGCCAAAGTGATCTTCTCCCCCATAATTCATGAGATAAAGTTCGTACATTTGTGCTTTTAAATATCTGGACTTTTTAGGTCATTTTCTGCAAAAGCAATCGAAGAAAGTTGTCTGTGCCAGTGTCTGCTGCAAGGCTGTTTTACAGATTGTTAGTACGATTAATATCAGAAAATGGAGGATTTGTTTTAAAGAGCCTGGGTGTTGCAGGTCAGAGGTTTTGATGAGGTTTTACTTGCATGCTTGTTCAGTCCATACAGAACACTTAAAAAATGTTGCTCTATGTGGCCCATTTAATTTTAAGGGGCTGTGCATAAAATAAACTAATTAAATAGGGGCCTTGTATTGTTATCACCATTCTTCAGAAACCTGCATGCACCGAATTCGGAATATCTCTTCTTCTTCTGTTCTGCATAGATGTTTTAATGTGCCTGTGAGCAGTGCTACATGGCACTACTGTCCATTTTTAGTTGTATCGCAGTGTTTAAAGCGCTAACTGAAGAAGAGGCTTGATAGCACAGTTCTTCATGGACACTGTTGTTGAACTTTGCCCACTGGCTGAAGAATGCCGTCAAGAGGGACACCGAATAAATCGTTCTTCGAACACCGATGTCACCGAGCTAGGGCCTAATATGTCTGGCTGGGGATCCTGCATTTTCATTTCCCAGTTTGTAATTAGCAGAGCAGGGGCTATTTGAGAGCCATCATGCCTGCACTGAGCTAATTGCAGAGCCCATCGAAAAATGAATTGGAAATCCACCTGACATTCAGCGAGTTCTCTGGAGTGGCTTAGGTCATTCCAGTCCCTGCGTTAATTACCTGAGCATGCGCTCTGCTGTGTCTGCCTTTTCTTCAGTGCTTCTTCTCACGTAAGCGTAGCTTAGGTGTTTGATTGCAGTGATGCAGTTCCAGGATCCTTGTTTAACATGCCTTATTTCTGAGTTAGCAGAAGGCATTGATTTGTTCATATTCTCTTTCTCAATCTCAAGAGTGTGTTCATTAATTGGAACTCCGTCTGGAGCTAACAGTTTGGTTCAGTGTGTCTGTCAAACTAAATAGCTGGCTGATTGCATTATCTAGGTCTATACCTTGGAGAAACAATGAAAAGGAAGATTCATGTACATCTAGGGCAAAAAAAAACTATGAAATTAATATGAATGAAATGCAATGCAAAAATGTCAAATCTTACCTCACTTTGCCAGATTGTCTATTTGTTTAATTACTGTTCTCCATAAGGAGCTTTAGCAAGGAAATGAAGCTTAGTCTGCAAAGAATTCCTCACTGAATTCTAGCTATAGAAGTTTTCCATTTGACTTCGTATGGGAAAGCGGTTAAATTAGTCAGCAGTTACCGGATACTCCTGCCCCCAACTTCTTTAAATTAAGTGAAAGATTGTTCTTGCTGGCACTGAGTAGAATCTGCACTGAGTTTGCTCCCTCTGTACTTGGGGGGGGGGGGGTGCTCATGAATTAAGAAAGCCTGTTGCAGAAATTCCACAGGTTATTGATAGCCAGACGTAGATGCAATATAACATTTTAATAAAAGAAAAAAGCACCTGAGGAATAATGAGCCTGCGTTGAGCCTGCTAGTCCTTCTCCTGTCAGAAAGCCGATTCGAGTCAGACTACTGCCCCTCAAATGTCAATGTGGGGTGACATTTGTCACGAAAACCTTCTGAGCAAAGGCAAGCTGGAATCTGTTGGATCCTTTTGTAATATGCAGCAGGGGATGATTCAATTCTTTCCGTGACCTGACTGTATTCTTCCCTGGGTGGCCGTAATTCCATTAGGCCTTCTTTGAGCTGGTTCAAGATGATTGTTTTACAGTCACAAAAAAACCCTCTCTGACTCTCTCTCAGTCCTAACCTCTTGTTCTCTCAACCAGTTGCCAGGCAATTGCAAAGTAAAAGTGACCTTGCGGAATTCATTTAAAACTTCAATTTACTTGTCAGGCTTTCCAGAGTCTTCTGATTTCAGCAGTAGGTTTTACCCCCAGCCCTGGCTGGACAGACCTAAAGGTCTCTTTTCTACGAAAGCTGCATAGTCTTGAAGGCCTCATGTTTCAGGTGCAGGGATAGGAGACCATCATCACTCTTTTGAGGGGGAAAAAAAAGAGGAATAGCAGAAACAAAAAGCCAGTTTGTTTTCTCAGTATACTCAATCCTGACTGTAGACATTCTGGTGGTAATTTACTGGTTCAGTGGTTGATGGACAGCAGTGTCTAGAAAGGACGTTGCTCTGCAGCCCCTCAGACCTGAACTACAACATGACATTTTAGCAGAAAGTTCCTAAATCCCTTAACCCCCAATTGCCACAAGAGTCCACTAAGACATAAAGGTTAAGATAATAAACTGAGTATTTAATGGACAATTTAAAAATCTACATCAAGAATTGCAACACTACAGTATCCTGTTATTTTGCAGACAGATATCCGAGGCAATTTAAAAAGGTTTACCCAACAGAAAGAACACAACAGATGGCATTAGTACGTCTGACAAATTGAATGTTTGTCTAAATGTATACAAACCGTTTTGGTTTCTGTGACTGGAGACTACGTTTCCAGATCACCTGGCACTCGTAAGGTATTCACATGTACGTGTGTACGCACATGCAAACTGGTTTCAAACGTAAACGACCTTTACCTAGTCTAGTATTCCGGGGGTAGCTATCCTTGCTCTGTGGGTGCATACACAGAGTAAAGTAAGGCTGTTCGGGTATGATCAAAATTAAACTAACTCAAACCAAACACCCGTTTTTCTTTGTTTTAGACGTGAAATGAACTAAATTGGAACTGGTCAGTTCTCCCGTTCTTTACAGGAAGCGCACACACACACACGTGGGGATGGGGATTATTTACACTCGAGCTAATGTTCAGTGTCCATAAAAACAGAATTTTCTTACTCCCATTTGCAGTTTAATAGGTGCAGTAATACTACTCTGAAAAAGCTTTGTAAAAGGGTAACTCGGGTACATCAGGCATGATCAGAGATCATAAAAGTATTTAGAAAAAAATGTTAACAATAACAGATTCCCATCAATCTGAATTTGACTTAATGTAATCAGCTTGATGTGGTTTGTATGTTTTCATCGGGCTGATTGTAGATATTGTGTGCTGCACGCTCATTAGTTAACGCTGTCCTTGGGGGACAAGTGTTCTGCATGCTGAAAAAAGGCACGTGGCCTTACTGGGGTTTAAAATAAAAGGAATACCCAGCTCTAATATGTGAATGGCACTGTGTAAGACATTTGGAGTATGAGCAGCAGGGCATTCGATTTGTAAGTGACAGATTCTGGCTGGCAGGGTCCTACTCTCAGAACAGCGCAAACCCAATTCTGTCCTCTTGGGCAGCTGTAAGAGGTTTAGAGCAGAGGAGTCCAATCCTGGCAGGGGTGTCTGCAGGTTTTCATTCTAGCTCGGTGTTTAACAACCTTAATCTGCTCGTTATTGGGTTTTACCGGGCTTGTTTTAACAACTGTTCCCAATCTTTAGGTGCTGGTACTTGAACAAGACCTAGGAAACCCATCAACACACCAGCCCTCCAGGTTGAGGAATGGGTAGCCCTGATGTAACTTAATTTCCAGATAGAACACACTGTGTGTTATTGATGTTCACTTCCTGTTACATTGTTCTTGTATTCTTCTTGTGTCTTTAGTTTCTTATTCTTAATCTTTGTGAATATTTATGTCCCAGAGACCAAAATCAATAGCCCCAATGCATGGTAGCTCTTGTCTGGTCATCGTTAATTTTTCTTGTCTGCCTGTGGTTTGTGTGGCTGATAACCAGGTTTCTTAGTCTTTACTGAGTGAACAGATGCTGGTTATTCTGTAGTCATGTCTGTAAAAGCTTTCTTAACATGTTCTCATAACATGTCAGCAGCTGATGTTTGTTACTATTCTCTGTTCTTGAAGTCGATATCAACGACTGAGAGTTAAAAATAAACATTTGACAGATAAACTTGAGCCAAAATTAACACAAAAAAATCCAATCCCGTGTGTTTTGCTGCAGGTTAGAAGGGTTTTTCTTTGCTTCCTTGATACATTAGTTACCAAGGTACCACAGTGTCAGTAAGTCAGTGAAATGTTATGTTTTCCGAACAATGTCTGTAACGTTTTCCATTGTAATGCTCTGCACTTTGTATTACTGTATTTTTCAGTGTTAATTGAGTATTGTCCCTGCTCTCTTCTCTGAACTCTATGAACTACACTCCCTGGGAGGTGCTGAAACAAGACCTGCTGTGTCATCTGTTAACAGTAATGTCTTGTCTTCAGATGTAGAAAGGAAAAAAAAAAACTTTGGAGTGGCAAATCATATTTTTAAAATTCATTAAGAACTTTTAATGTTCTGGGAAAGGGTTTTAATCTTAAATTGATTGCAATGTCTGCTCTTTTTATGCTTTCAGTAGTTAACATTTTTTGTGTTAGCAGTTAACTTTTTTTTTTTAGTTTTTGGTTTCTCTCCTCCGTTGTCTTCTGGTCTTTTCTGTTCTGTATTCACAACATGGAGGGTCACTTGGTTTGTTAAGCGCCTTGGGGCAACCTTGTTGTGAAAGGCGCTATATAAAAATAAATTGAATTGAACTGAATAATACTGTTCATGTGCCAGATTGCACACAGCACAAATTGTGCGGTCTAATATGTATCACAGACCCAGCTTTTTAACTTGAATCATTTTATGCCAGGTAGGCAGTGCCGAAAGTA